CGGGGGGCCCCGAAAGCTGACACACAGTAGGGGGAGGTTCAGGAAAAATTCGAGTGACGCCCCTTTTTCTTAGCTGCACTGCTGAGATTCACTTTTCGGATAAATTAGGATGGTCGACGCCTGTTAACATAGACAAACACACACATTTAGAAGCATTTGTGTTTTCGACCGCATTGAGACTGACGAAATGCATTGGTCAGTCGGACAGATAGATGGCATGGAGGCAACAAACCCACAACACAAACATGTACCTGAACGGCGACACGGCTGTAGAAGACGATGACGAAGGTGACCCCCCAGCGGCTAACCACGGGGACCCCGAAGCTCGTCCGGATGCCGATGTTCATTGCCCCGTTGAGGCGGAGGAAGTGGGCATGGTTCAGGTTGACCACGTTTTCCTGCAAGACACGACAGTTTTATGGTCGACAAGAACCGGAGAAGGACAAGATTATAGGCCAACATAAGATCAAGGGAAAAACACTTCAGGAAGAAGTTGGTCGTGTTTTGCAAAGTGTTGAACGTGCACCGCGGTATCGAACAGAAACCAAGACAAGAACGATCAACACACAAGCCGCCATCGATCGGTATACGGCACGGAGAGACAGGATCTGCGCCGGCACTAGCGGCACCATCCGAACGTCGAACCTTACAAGACGTGCACCGCGGCAGCTGACGCCGTCTGTGAATCGACCGATTTCACGTCCCCCAACGCTTTGCGTTTTACCACCGCCCATCTCTGCACCTTCGCCCATGCACTACTACTACCGCTGTATAGTTTCGTAAGCCGCCAACAACACGACATGACGGACGTCGTCGTGTGTGCATGCACACCTGCCATTCGCTCTTGTTGTTGGCGTACACGCGCCCAGGCAGGCCTTGCCCTTGTCGGAACGAGAAATTCGTCGAGTAGTCCCCCCACTCCTCAAGCTCCTTCACCTGGACGCCCAACACAGGCACATTACACAGGCAGCGCGCCGCCACTTCAGAAATTGACAGCTACGAAATTGGTGAGATTTTGTTTTTTTTGTTCTTCACTCCACGGAACGCGTCCGCGTGAGTTGGACCAGTACGGACATTAGAAGGTACTGAGCGGAGACAGGAACGGTTTTTAATGTGAAGACAACAACAACAACAAAACTTCAAATCAGCGCTCACAGCACCTAATTGTGCCGTTTACCCCAACGCGTGGTCACACAGAAGGGTTCCTCTCCCTAAGTCCCATACCCACCGCTCCTGCGGTACTTCACTACAGAAAAAAAAGGCAAGACAACAGAACTGAACGACACCCCGGTGGAAAAGGCTCCTCAATCCTCTCATTCAACCAAGCGACACGTGAGCTATCTACAATCTACTGTTGTATGCACATCAAACCTCAAGGCATGTGTGCCATGGTACATCAAACCACGACGCTTGCGTCGGTCAAAATGGTCAACTCTTCCTCGCACACATCTTGGCGTCCAAATCCACGGCTAAACGGACCACATGAAAAACACCGAACCCCGCCACTTGACACTCCGGCTCACATTGGTGAAGTACCCGGCGTGGAATAGAACGACCTCGCTTCCCTCCTGGTCTTGGTTGCACAGCGGCACCCAAACGTCGACGGCTTCGAAGGGGATCTGACAAGACAGACAAGACAGAGACATACACCACCATCCCCAACAAACCACACCACACCACGAACACCAGCAGCAGCAGCGGCGGCATGGACAACGAAGATGTACAGAGGGTTGATGGTTAGAGAGCCAAAGACACACACAACAGCAGCAGAGGAGACTCGAGCAAAATAATCTTGGAATCGTGAGGTTCCGCCGCGCCAGAACGTGGCGTATATCATACATCATGCCCGAAACGCCAACCGCTGGAAATACTCGACACATGCTACGTATGCGGCTAAACGGCGTTCACGGATGGCCGTGGGGTGGGTATGTACCAAGTCTGAGGGAACTAGTCGAGTTGCGACGGGGGCCTCCGCTTGGAGGAACGGTTCCTTCTCGAGCTTTTCGTCGTTGCCTCGACATACACGGCCCTCTTTCGACATTTTCACGGGATAAGGGAACGATTGATTTCCAAAGGAAGGTAGGTACGCATGTACGGCATGACTTCACGGTACGTTCACGACTCCATGTTGTGGGTCAGGTGTGACAATGCCAAAACAACACTCACCTACTGCAATCTCAGCAGACGTTTCACATTTATTCACATACAGTATCACGCTCAGCCAGCACGCAACGAGGCCCTGCTTGCCCCACCCCCCGCCCGCCCTGACTGTCAACAACATGGCAGCAGCTTCATCCCACACACAGCAAACGAGAAACAAAAAAAAAACAGTGCCATTCACACCTGATCGAGGAAATTCCCGATGAAGTCCTCGAAGCGGTGGCTGCTATCATCATCATCGCCGTCCCCACCCCCCCCATCATTCCCGCCCCCGCCCCCTCCCCCTCCCCCGCCCCCACCGCCAGACCCCCCGGGGCCCGGCCCACCACCCCCGCCCCCGCCCCCGCCCCCTCCGCCGCCAGCACCGTTGCCCCCCGCGTTGCCGTTGCCGTTGCCGTTGCCGTTGCCGTTGCCGCCGCCGCCCATGTTGCCGCCGGTGCTTGGCTGCCACGCAGGCCTCCCGGGGTTTCCACGGCCCGCGTCGCGGAGGGTAGCAACTCCCGGCCCCCCGGCGGTGTTGGAGTTGCTGCTGCCGTTGCCGCCGATGAAGAGCTGGCGTTGTGTGGGATAGGACCAAGTGTGTTGAGGAGGGCGTTGGGTACGGAGGCGGCAGGGGGAGCGGGGGCGGCAGCTTGGGAATGGACCCCTGCCGGCCCGTCGAAAACGGTTCTCTTATTTTCGTCGCGGATGTACGCGCCGTAGCAGGAGACGCCATGCCACAAACAACAACAAGACCATGACAGCAGCTGCAGAAGCAAAAAACCATCGCCATCACCAGCAACCACAACACCATCCGACAACAATCGTCAATGGCGCTACAAGTACATTATTCCGAGACCACGCTGTGGGCGTAGCCGCAAAAGAGGCCTGATTGTGCACAACAGACACACCTGTGGTTCGTCGAGTGTAGAGGACGTGCCCGCCGTGGTGTTCTCTCCAAGCGGCCCTTGGCCCTGTGCTAGCGCGCCGGTCCACTGTCCGTTGCCGTGGTTATTTAAATCTGGGTCCATATCCTGACCGACAAGCAACACACACATACACACACCACCATCATGAGACGATGTCCGTATCGTATGCTACATGTTCTGAACGATACTGCCAAATGTGTGCAGTCGATCATCAACATCCTGCCTCGGCAATCAACATCAACGTCAGATGATTTCATCACGGCCGACGCTGACCGATCATCAACATCAACCTAAACAATCAACAATCCACACCAACAACACCCACAATCAACATCAATATACATCAGTATCACCAGCAGCGGCACACCATCGGCAACATACAGCCCAACGCCCCATTCTAGACAGCACCGAAACATACAACGCGTCTGCCTGCGCAACAGGTGTCAGCCGGGTTTGGATGGGGCAAGAATATCGGTCACCTCAATGGCGACGCTGTTTTGGTATCCCATGGAGGCCAGATTATTCTCGAGCGAAGACCAAAGCTCCTCCCCGAACCTGTTTTTCAGAACAAAAAAATAAATAAATCGCAGGCGTCATACAGATATCCAAGCACCAGCGCTAGCTCGTCAAGGAAACCTTTCGCACTCGACCAAGCATTTAGCCGAGATACATCACACAGAAACTGCGGGTTGATTGGGGACCATCCAGGCAACCAAAAGGCAGTCGAGCAACAATTTTCAATATTCACCAAAACATTTTTTTTTTTTTTTGCTAAAATTGTCCGATGAAAGTGACTGACAAGCGCCAATTGGGCAGCCGCCTTCATACCGTGCTCGACAAGGAAAAGTCAAAAATTAACACGACCGATGGCATACGCGACTAACAGCCACAACTACCGCCTCCCTCTCGCCTACCCCACATACCACATTCAGCGCCGACTGTCTTACCCTTCCATGTCGTCCATGCCCTCGTGGGACCCTTGTATCTGCGGTGCCCCCTGCCCGTGCCGCTGTTGACATCCTTGACCGGTTTGCTGCAGAACAGAAACAGTGCGCACAGGGGGTGAGAGATCATGTCAACTCACTGTTACTGATTATTACCTGTGTTTTCCGGAAAAGGGCTGCAACAGCAGTATTTTTTGCTGTATCGGCGAAGCTGCCGAAAATACCAACATACGAAAAATTGCCTCAGAATTTTCTACCACCACGGGGGAAAGCTTGAAACGCTGCTGAACGACAACCACCAACAACGCACATGTTCTACTGTAGGCCTTGCTCATATGCGTTTTCTATGCGATACATACTACAAGTCCACTAACTTTGCTCTATTTTCAGTACAATACCCCAAAACGGACAACAACAACTGCAAGGCAATCGCCTACACTACCGAGAAGAAGCCTAACCTGCTCGAGCCAGCTGAAGCCCGCGCCGGCGCCACCCCGCTGCTGGGTCATCGCAGACAGGAACGCCTGCTGCTGCTGCTGGGAGGAAGACGAAGAAGCTCCGGCGCCCCCCCCGCCAAACGAGGATGACGACCCCGCGCCTGCTGCGCCCGAGGAGGAGGAAAGCCCTGACGCGCCCCCCGCCTGCTGCTGTTGGTCGCCGTTTGCGGAGGGGAAGCGCTGCATGCCGTGCTGGCCCTGACCTTGCTGCCAAGACTGGATCTGCGGCGACGGCGGCGGTTCAGGGGAGGGGGACGAACAATACTGTTACTCTGGAAGTAGAGGGACCGTTGCGATTATTCCAAACCGAGGTGATAACGCTCCCGTTTAGGCCTCGACCGAACCCTCCTCTCTTGCTTCTCTGCCCCTTTCTCTCAAATCTCCGCCACTGCTGTCACTTCCTTATACGTATCTCTATCTCTCCTTATCTCTCTCCCTTATCCTCACCACATTGCCCATGGCCTGAACTAGCGATACGTTGTGTGTCCCCTGCCCCTGGACCCCGCCTGCCGCTTGCCCCTGGTTTCCATTGTTGTTGTCGCCATTTTGCGACACGAGCATGAGGGGAGCCAGGTGACCCATTCCCTGCTCTCCCTTGCTCGGAGTGATGGACGACAGAAGCTAATTTACGCAGGACAGCAGCAGCAGCAGCAGCAGCAGCAGCAGCAGCAGCGATGAGCGAGAACCAACACCCGAGACTCAAAAGCAAGACTAAGGACCGAACCACCAGCTCTAACTAGTCGTCTCTGCTCGGGCCGAGGGTCAACGGTGGACGGCGAGCTACTGCAATTTGGCAACAAACAACACCAGCAGCAACATGCGAACGTCGGTGGAAGAGCTACTTCGAGGGAAGCCAACACCAACACCCACGCGCATGTCGGGGGCATAGGGTTTGCCGGGAGGGAGGGAAACACACGCACCTCGTGACAAGTGATAAAACACTACTTTTCCAGAGCAAACTGAAGATGAAAAAGCATGATGCGTTGTAGGTTTCAAACGCCAACCATTCTTGCATACCGACGACACCATACCTCCATAAAGACAGAGTAATTTCTTCCCCCTTTCCTCTGACATGATGTCCACGTACCTTGCTGAGGGCATCCGAGGACAGCTCCGCCTTCCTGCGGCTGGAGTTCCAGTCCCAGGCGTTCTTAAGCTTCTGGTTGACCGTGTGCGCGTGCCCGATGAAACGCTCCCTCCACTCCTTCTGGATGCACTCGCTAAGGATCTGGGTGTTGGCCACGCCGCGGTTGGTCTGGCTCTCCGCCATCAGGAACATCTACAAACAGAGAGAGTTTCAGCGGTTTCGGCCGGGAGGGGGAGGTCGTCATCAGTCACGGACATCACAGGCAAGGGTTCAATGGTTGGGGCCGGGGGAGGAGGGTGGAAGGTGATCGTCACTGTTGACGGGTACAAAATGTTGCACAAGTTAGTAGTTTTCTCCCTGATTCATGCACGAAAAAGCTTACCCGCACACCACACGTAGTTAAGTGTGTACCTTGACCGCACAACCGTACTGCTGTACAAGCAGTTCATCGTGGGGTCAACAAGCATACACAGGACATACGCACATCAAATTCGTATGCACACTTCGAAGTATATCAAAATACAAGGGACGAAAAAAGTACCGAAAAAAAAAAACACAGGGGAGGAAAACAAAAAAAAGTCACCTCTTCGAGGTCGCTGAGCCGCTTCTGCGCCTCCCGGTGCTTGGCGATGTGCTCCTCGCCCATTGGTCTACCCGGGCACCGTTGGAAGTACTTCTTCCCGATCTTGAGCTTCTTAGAAAGCCGCCTGGGCGAGTGAATGGGTGCGCGGTTGGACCACAGACCAACGGACAGAAGGGTGCCACCGCACGAGAGAGGGTAAGTGTAAATTGTACCATTGGGCAGCAAGATAAAACGCTACAGAGGATCTCAACGGAAGGTGTCCGAGGCAACATAATCGCCAGGAAAGGCTCGGTCGTGCCCCACCCTTGTTGCGGAAGAGGCGGAAAACCGCCATCTGTCACCGTTCGTGAAAATGGGAAAGGCACAGGAGGTAAACCACCATCCATCGCGGTTTTGTACCAACTTGATGCGTAACAGGCGGAGAACGGCCATCCATCACGGGTTTGCGAACACGGGATGCGGGTCAGTCCGTCGCTACGTTGCCCGAACAGCGGGCTTCCGTTGCAGGGCAAGCCGCTTGGCGCTGTCTCTTGTTTATCTCCTACGGCCCTTGCATTCCCAACCAGCCAACCAAGAACCTGCACACAAGTCTTCCCGACGCAGATGAGACTGTTCCTACCATTGGCTCAAAAACTGCACAATTGATCGCGCTTGTTCGAAAAAGCGGGCTAGGCTCTTCCTGCTAACAGCTCAACAGCTGCAATAACTTGTTCGAACAGCAGACTAGACTCTTCCCACAACTAGTGTAGCTCCCCACCAACTTTCTCGCACAAGCAAAACCCTTCTCCTTGTAGGGCACCGTTGCTCGTACACGGCAAAAAAAAAGCGCACTCACGATGGCGAGCAGTTGAGGATGTTGCAAAGGAAGTTCCCGAGCTTGGTCCCTTCGCTGAGGGGCATGGTGCCCGCGTCGAAGTCCGCCACGATCCGCTGCGCGTACATGGTCTCGTACGAGTGCCACCTCCCGGTCCTGCCGGCGAAAAAAAAAAAAAAAAAAAAGGGGGACGCAAAAATGAGAAAACCTGCCTGCGAAGAAATAAACAGCGGAGTACAAAACACATTTGTCGCAATACACAAAAAGCAGACGTACAAAAGAAAAGCTTTTGGCGAACCAAGAACAATCACCACGTAGACTAGAGACGTATGAATATACCACAAAATACGTATTTCACGGAGTAGATTTATCAGCCGGGGTCGCACCCACAAGTAGAAGCGCGCACGGTTTCTTTCTCTGTGGTTCACCTCGATTGGTGCTCTGCGTCACGACCCTTGCGCTCGTCTTCCTCGAAGAGGTTAGTGGCGGAGTAGGGTTCCACCGGAAGGATGAACAACCCGTCGTCGTTTCCGAAGTCCATGTCGCAGACCGGGCACCGGACGATTGGCATCGAGTAGATGCAGCCTGGGATACACGTAATATATGCATCGAGTTTTCCATTTGAGTTCGAGTCTGGGCGGAATGCGGGCAGAGAGCTGGGGTATCAAACATCAGCAGCGGCAGCGGCAGCAGCAGCAGCAGCAACACCAGAGGGGGTCAAGATGCCGTGGTCCACAGAAACGAGGTTGCCGAGTCATGTTTAAAAGGCTGTCAGCCCTAACCCCTAAAGATGTACCGCTTGCTGCCACGATCGTCTCACGGGGTACTCAGATGGAAAACCCTATTACATCGACACAACGGTGCCACCCTTGTTTTCCCCCCCGTCAAACCCTTCCGCCTTTCCGCTCCCCCCCCCCCCCCCCCCCCCCCCCCCCTCCCCAATATACAAGAGGGCCCAGG